TGATAATCTGACTCATATTCATGTCAGATATGGAAAAACCATGAAAACTCCCATACAGCGTGCCTTTTCCCAGGATATGAACCCAGTAATAGCACTTGAAAAAGCTTGAGGTAGAAGATAAACAACCTCAAAGTAAAATTTTATTACATAGGTTATTTTCGTCTGAATATCTCATTTTATATATATTATTCACCTATAATTTACCATTTCATTCGTAACCTGAAATTTTAAACTACTTTTAGTAGATCGAAGAACATTTATGGATATTTTTGTTAATTTAGTCATCAACTTTTAAAATTTATCTCTATATGACAAAGTAATATATATGAACTAAAATACAGAGCATATTATTATGCTACTTATCGTCTTTATAGTATTCTATGTTTGAATTTGAATAAAAGAATTTGTTACAAGAATCCCAGCTTAAGCATATTTATTTTATATTATATTTTAGTATGTAATTGCAAAAAACAACAAAATAATTTTTTCTGCACATGTATTACAAAATGTTACTCTATGTCACTGAAAAAACTAACAATTTATGTGAAACTGGCAATGGATAAGTGAACACTTCTTTCGTTAAAATTAAATAATCATTAAAATAAGGCATTTCATCTAACGTTTTGCAACATATTTATTGTGCTTTCTGTGATTGCTTTATAAATAGGAATTTATTGCATACAAGCACTTCAAACGAAAAGGAAATTTTTCCTGTCATATTTTGTATGATAGGTCGGATTCCATAATTCACAAATGCAGTATTCCATTTGTGCTGACCATAGCTCAGATTACAAGTTACTTCTGATATGTGGATTTCGTAATGAGTTAACTGCTGTTAGTTAATACAGGGGTAAGTCTATGGCAGTTTCCATTCTTCTCCCATTATAAGTTCTATGGTTAGTAATATTAGCAAACCAATAACACCTTTTCCCTAGAACCAAATTACTTTTATAAGAACAAATACCAGGTACTGCTTTGTTGTGTCCAGTTCTAATATATTATGGCTAATTCTTGTAACATATACATTACCTAACCAAAAGTCCTTACTCAGCATTTATTTTTGAAGCCATTGGTTATAGACACATACTTCCATTTACAAAACTGGTTTGATTCTTTGACTGCTATGGGTGCGTATGTGCATCTGGAGCAAACTATTAGTGTAGACGATGAATGGAAATGCATGCTCGGCAAAGGTTTTGGCTGTTCACTTCTGTCTCATGTGTCTGTTCAGAAATTATTTCTATCATAAATGTCTAACACCCGCATAAACCTCATACTTCATTTGTTGCTTAGCAATGAGAAAAAATTAAATCTCATTTAGTTGGTCAATCACTCTGCGGTCGCACGCCACTCATGAGAAGTGCTTTAACTTAGACTAGTTAGCAGTCAAAGGATTAAATGACACAAATATTCCCGTTGTGATATTTAAAATTTAAACAAAAAAAAAAAAAAAAAAAAAAATCAATTTCGTAAAAGTTAAAAAATATTAATTTTTATATACTTCCCCAACATTTATGCTAAGAAAAATATTATACTCATTACAAAAAATAAAAAACAAAATGTTCCTGTACTACAAAAATTGAAATTTTTGTAGTTCCTGTACTACAAAAATTAATTCCTGTACTACAAAAATTGAAAGATTTCAAAATTTGCAATCTTGGATATCATTTTTAATTTACATTGATGGGCCAATTAATAAACAAATTACAATAATTTATTAAAGCAATCACTTTTAATAGAAGTCACCAAAATTTCAGAATATGCTAAACTCTGGCACCTATTATATGCATAAACAACCTTCATTCAAGCAATGCTGCCATTTCCATATGCATTTTTTGTTGTATTCCAAGTTCTAATGCTTTTTTTTTTTAAAACAAATCTATTTTTGCCTTAAACTTAGCTTTAAAAAACAAGCTTGAAATCTGACAAGAATAGGAAAAACTGCAGTAAAATTTCTGCCAGGAGTACAGAATTTTGATGAACATTTTCTACGGGTAACAACAAGGAAATGTGTTTCATACATAGTCACTGTTTCCTAGGTTTGCAAGAAGCTGTCTCCACTGTTCTCTGATGGTTTTTAGGTGAAAACAGATCACTGCATATTTCCAGAGAAGAACAGAACAAAAAAATTGCAGAAAGATTTGAATAAAAGTGTGTTTCATATTTTTACTTTATCACGTAATCCTTATTTAATAGTTAAAATTTGTATTTTAAATTGCCAAAATGTGTTTTCTTTTCATATGTAGATAATGTTTACTGACACACTATAAAAACAGTTTATAAATGTTTCTAGAAAAAGGCATGAAAGACATCAATTTGCACCTGATAAGAAACTTCTATCTTTTGATCATTAAAATATCATCAAATTGTGCCAAGGTAATTACGTTAATACGTAAGTACAGTTGATTTTTTCCCCTTATATGTCTTTCAATAATATTCTTTTGCAATTTACTAGGTGTTTTTTTTTAAATTAATTTTATTGCATTTGGCAAGCTGAAAGAATTTTCACACAGGTAATTTATGAGATTCAAAGTCTAAAAATATGTTTTTAATATTCTCACAAACTTTTAATCATAATCTGGTAATGATACAAAAAAATGTCATTACATTACAAATACTTTTTTTTTTAATTAATGTAAATATGATTTTGCTATGTGCCAACACTGAAGCCTGCCAGTGTTTTCTACAACATGAATGCTACAAGATTCATTATTAAAAAAATTTTTTCGTTAAATTGATTGGCTAAAAACTATAAGCAATGCAGAAGGTTCTCTGTGATGATGTGGTTTTTTTTGGGGGGAAAAGATGAAACCCAAATCATGTTTGAGTCATGGCTGAGAATACTTGTTAAGACTGCTACGAAAATGACATCATCACATATATATATTATGCTTCTTCCACAATAATCTGCAAAGAAATGGGCTGATCTTTGGAATATGGTAACTGGTAGTTTCGCGACATTTTGGAGGCGATAAAGGTTACTACCTAAGACTTTGGTTGTAATGTGAGAAGTACTCAATTCCGATTACGCATTATTTTGTGTGAGGGAAATGAGAGATCATGAGATATGTCATGTGACATTAATGGATGAATTACAGTTCTTTAATTGGAAAAGGGGGGGATTTGGAAAACTGTAGTACTATATTATTTTGTATTAAGCTTCATTGTGTGTTGTGTGAAATAGTGGAAGTGTGCGTGCCACGTAATGAAAATTCTGAAGATTAGGTAAGTTAGTATTTTTAATCATTTGAGGATATTATTTTTATGCATTGTTCTAAATGTAAGGAGTAAATAAATTAGTATGGTATTATTGGAAAATTGTTATTAGCAATAATTTAATTTAAAGTAATTAGGATTGTAATCTAATTTTTATTAATTTAATGTATGTGCTTATTTATATTTTAAGTAGTGTTTTTTAATTTAATGATCATGATTTTGTGAGTTATATGTTTGTTGTATTTTGGAATACGTTTGAGTAGAATATGTTGAGTATTTTCATGCATTTTCGTGAAATTTTTCTAATTTATGAGAAAAAAGCAGTGTACATGGATATAGTGAAGAGTGTGCGCAATGCCATTTTTGTGCAATTCTGGGATGTTTATTTAAGTAAAAATAAGTCGACGTGTACATGGTTTAGTGATATTTTAATTAAATGATAGTTATTTTGTGAATTTTATGTTTGTAGGAATTTGTTATACGTTTCAGTTGAAGTAAACGTGTATGCAAATAATTTAAATATTTGACACTAAGTATTTGTAACCATTTGTAATGTTTGCGGTATGAATTCGTTGGTGACGTTTATAATATAATAGATAATTTAGAGGTAAAAGTTTTTGGATATTTTATTTATTTTATACGTGGAAATGTTCATCCTTGGAAAGGGTATATACTTTTTCGCGATCAGGTAATTTCATATATGTGCTTTTTACCAAGTTTAAAGAATCACAGAATTGTTTTGCATTTTTGTGCAAATTTTTGTAATTTATGAGAAAATAGTAGTGTAGATGGATAAAGTTAAGAGTGTGTGCAATGCCATTTTTGTGCAATTCTGGGATGTTTTTTTAAGTAAAAATAAGTAAAATAATATGTGTATGTGCTATTCTGAAAATCGCGCAAGGCGTTTGCGATTGTGCACTTTTTCCAAATTTTGCAGTTAATATTTGTCATGATTAAGCAGTTTTGTTACATAAAATTTCTAGCATAAATGTAATTCGGCTAGTAGATTGTTGGAAAAAGTGTTCAGTAAATAAAAAGAAAAGAAACATCGCTTTACTTTGTGTAGACAAAATGGCGGCGAAGAAAAAATAGAGGGTTGCTGTAGCAGAGTTGGTCGCCAAATTTTCGCCAAGTTACCATAATCCAAAGATCAACCAAGACATGCTCATCAGTTAATTTCTATTAATGCAAACCTTTTACTAAATTAATATTTTATTTTTAATTATGCACAGATACAAATATTTTGCTCTTCAATTTATGTATGGCTTCTGAATATGATCTCCAACTTTAATAAATATTTTGATAAAATTTTGTAATAAAATAAGGGATCACAACTTTTTCTTGCTTTATTTTTTAAAAGACGTAGACAAATTTTCTAAATGTAAGTACAGGAAATATAAGAATGCGTAAAAAATGAAATTTTACAATTTTTATACAATTACTTTCTTTAAATTTAAAAGTACCAAAACAGGAATATTTGCATCACTTCTCACATTTTCGTAACTGGAAGTATATGTCCATAACCAATGGTTCTGAAAATAAAGGCCAGGTAAGGTGTGTGTGTAACATGTGTGCATGAATTGGGTACTATATACATATATACATTATTTCATGATTACAATCCACTCCAATGTTATCAGCTCTTTCTAGTAAATATTTGAGACAATTATCTTTGGATTTAATCAACCAAAATAATTCTGACAGGCATTTAGGCATATTAACCTTCTAAAGTTCAGGTTTTAATTATGAATGCATTTGAAAATAGTTATGGAGGTACCAACAAAACAAAAGCAAAACTTTTATTTAAAAGAAAATTTCATAATGAAATCTAGTTAACCCATTTACAAGACTAAATAATGATAATTATCTTAAAAGTATCTTAAGCAATATGTGTAAGCCATAAAGGTACTTACATTTCAAGATTTTTTAAGTGATTGAGCTAATTATCCAATAAGAAATTACAGTAAATCCTTTCCTTTAGATTATTACATATCATATAATTTTGTGCATATGAAAATAAAATTAACATTCTTTCTTATTTTCTCATTTACCCATATAAAATTATTACTTTTTAATAATCTCAAATGCAATAATACATTTAATAATAAAACTTGATAACTAAAAAATATAAAAAAATATGATTTGAAAATTATACAAAAAGCCATCATACTTGACTTGATATTTTTCTTTCTTTCATGTGTTTATGAACTGCTGATTAATTTTAAAAACTACTATATGCATAACAATGGAGTAGCACTTTCTGTAAGTTCTATATTTCAAGTTTCCTAAGTATGAAATATGAAATTGACAGTTTTATACTTTGATATCACTGTGTGTAACATCTTGAAAAAACCAGTGCGCTTTTTATATCAAATCTGCATATTAGTAATATTAAAAATTTGAATTTAATTTAGGTATTAAGAAATGTACTCGGTAAAAGAGAGGTTATTTCTGAAATAATGATATCTGATGACCACTACATGAACAAGTTTAACGGATTAGTCTAATTATTACTAATAATTATCCATAATTGGTATTAACAGTTAACATTGACAATTACATGGAGGTTTATGATAATCTGCACACCCAGCAGGAAAGGCTTCATGACGTTTAGGTCAGTGATGTCTTTCTGAGATTTTTTTTTATATTCCTAATGTTCTATTTTAAATTGAGTTTCTTGCATGTAATTACCTATCACAATATTTCTTTGCACTGATGGCAGGGGTTCATCCAATCAACTATGACTAATCACTTTAATTGTTTGCATCTGCATTACTTCTATCAAGTGTGTTCTACTAATAAATTTTTTCTTGTTTTATATATAGAGCAGGTTCATTTACTTTTGTTTAATTCATTATAAAACAGCAAAGTAATTAATTATAATATGAATTTTTTTGAATGCCAATCTGGTTCTTCTCTCGTAACTATCATCTACACCTTAATTTCCACAAAAAAGTACATTTTTAAATTTTACAACAGAAATTCTTTTTCATGCTTCTTATACTGCTTTCCATAAACCATTAATTGTCTTTGGTCAATGCTCCCTTTAACAGCCTAAAAACAATAGTACATAGTCTATAAATGCCACATCCAGTTTTTTTGGAATACGTGAAAAAGGTTCATAACAGTTCTTTTTTTTTCTTCAAATATTCAAAGTCAAAACATCAATTTTCATAATACATAGAGGATACTTCTTTGTTAACAACTTCATAGGCCTTTGACAACATTTGAAATTTGTATTTTGAACAATTAAATTTGCCGATTTTGGTGACTAAGCATGGGAGCAGATTTAATGAGAAAGAACCATACAAATTAAATTTTTATATTTTCTCAAACCTATTTAGCTTGCCATCATATAAAAAGGCAGCTTTGATCATAAACTTCCTTAAGTTTTCTTCAGAATGCTAAAATTTAAATTATTCTCTTCTCATTTATAACTTTCAGTTACAATCATACACACATAGCCATATTTTATGCTTAGTAATTATAAATATTAATTTTTTACGTGATAAATAATTTCCGTAAAGAATTCTACAAGTGGTCTCTTATTTTGAAATCCCTTGAAAGGCAATAATCATTGTATATCTCTTTAGAATTTTTATCTTTACGTCTTTATTTAAAAAGAATATATCTAAAAAAGCCTTTAAAATAATTAAGACTTTTGTGTATAACTATGTAAAATATACCTTATTTCCGTGCATGTGTATGAAGCGGCAGATTTTACATTTGACAGCTTAGAGTATCAAAGAATATTGAAGCCATTTGCTAAAATTATATGATGAGCAAAAATATTATACTAATAAAATATAAATACATTTAAAAATAAGAGAAGAAAAATTGTTATTTTTATATTAATGGCTTTTATTGGCCTATAAAAAACACACATAATATAAATGACGATAAAGATATCATAAAAAAGGAAACAATTATGGTTTTGATTTGAAGTGCAAAATCTACTTTCAAATCAAACATATGAATGCATATACCACTGGTACATGCACATAACAATCTGTCATCCTGAAAGATTCTAAATTATTTTTTTTAATGATTTCATGATTTAGGATTTACCGTCATTCTTAATGTTATAAAAATGCGTACATTTGAAATCATAATCACATCATTAAAACAAACTGAAGAGAAGCCTAATAAATCTGGAATAACAAAATTATAACATAAATATGTCAATTTTTCCATGCTGACCAGCCTCTGAAAATTAAACATAAATTTCAGAAAGAAAAAAACGGGGTATCATACTGTAAATATTCAAATCTTACAACACTACCCTTCTACTTTACTGCTCTGCAGTTATTAATACAATTTTCAAAATTTGTTTTTTCAGTTACATCATTTTCGATACAGTAACTGAAAAATTATTTAAATCACTCTGACCTCGCTATTCCTCATCCCTTTGTGAATAGCAAATAATATTTCAAGATCTGCATTTGAAATTTGAAGGAATGGGAGAAATATTATTAAAATGATTTCTATGACTGTAAACCAATAATTATTATTCAGAATATATCAGTTACAGAACAAGTGTTTTCTTCTTTAATACATTTCAAATAATATTAAACTTTGCATTCAAAGTAATGTACATTGACAACTTTTTTTTTACGAATAATAATCTTACATTTAGTTTCTTACTTAAGAATATATGAACATCTGGATTGAATATTATACCTTGCATTGTAACATTTTAATGAAATTTATTTCGTTTAATGGCCTTAGAATTACGTCGAAAATAAGCATCGTGAAATTGCAGTACTTCTGATGCAAGAAACACTTTATTTTTCAGTATGTCTTTCCACTCACTTGTGTCCAATATATCACATGCATAAGAACAGAAAGATTTTTTAGCAGCTAACTTTAGCTTATTATCACTATGCATATCGGCCAAAATCAGCACATCACACACATTTTCAGCTGTCATGGAAACTGATATATATGTACAACATTTCGCTTTCATATCTAAAAGTTGATATTTATCTGACGCAGAATAAAGTTCCAAAGCATTATACATATTTACTTTTTTAAGCTGTCCAGAATAAATATATTGCAGCATGATTTCAATTACATCTGGATCAATGTCAGAAATTTCAATGACATTTGTCTTTTCTTCAGCCATCTCGTGACTAAACATACCACGGAATACGGGTGAACGGGTCGTCAAAATCACTTTATGGACAGGAAATTCCTTATCCTTCACTCGAATTGAAACATCAGTTAACTTTTCACTCTTATAAAATGCCTCCAAATCCTCTGCAAGTTTTTTCAAATGATTATCAGATAATTCTGCAGATGTCTGTGTTAGAAAAATTTCTTCAAGATCAGATATCGCAACTCTACCATCCGACACAGAAATATCACACTGAAGAGTAAGGGTATCATTTGGCAAAATATTTCTTTTCTCCTTAATCAACGTATCTCTTTTTACAAAATGACAAAAGCCTAATTTTTCACCTGTTCCGAACATTTCATTAACTATAGCAGTGTGCTGCAATTTATTATTTATATCTACAACAGAGACTTTAAATTTGACACGGACAGCCTCCTCTTCTTTAGCACACTGTGGTCGGAAAAGGAAAACTGACACTTGATCCTCATCATCATCTCCGCTTGCACCTTTGGGTTCAAATATAACATCAAAATTTTTACCTTCTGTCAAACATGAGGCTGCTAATACTTTTTTACTAATGGAATGCCTCCAACAACTAAAATTTTCAATAACCCAAGTGTAAGAACAACTTCCAACACTAATTTTAGTCCTAGCATGAACTTTATTTGGTTTGGAAATATGCTGAAGCTCACGAGGCCCATATTTGCATGCTATTTCATATAAGCCTAGAGGTACATAAGCTGCAGAATATACTTTACCTGTATATAAATAGGATATGAATGCTTTCATTGCCTCTGGGTTTAAGTCTGTAAAATCGACATTAACCCCATGTTTTAATCTTTCAGCTTCAAAAATATTTTTGAGCTCTGAACAACGAGCATCAAGGATGATTTTATGCAATTTTAGCTCCTGATCTTCCAATTTAAGAGTTAAATCACTGTATTCTCCACTCTCGTACAATTTTTTTAGATCATGGGACAAATTTTCATACACTGAAATTTCCTCCTCATCTTGATTCACATTCGTTTCTGTAGATTCATTATGTTCTACAACAACCCTGACTTCCCAACTTAAAGTAAGAGTGTCATTAGGGAGAAATTTTGATTCATTTTTAAAAACTTCTTCTCTACGGATAAAAGTAGGAAAACCCCAACCTTCACAATTTTTTAAATGATTCTGTGATTCATGAATATTACATAACTGTCCATCAGCATCTACAAATGAGAGCCAAGATTCTACGTAAATAACGTCTGAAGCAGCGTCTGGAGCCCGGTAAAAAGAAACACAAATGTATTCTTCATGTCCGGCTTTTCCTTTTGGATAAATATTTACTGAAAACTTAGCAGGTATACATTCACTCAAGCAAAATACTGGACTACTTAACACATCATCCTCTTTCTGGCAACACATACTGAAATTTTCGATAGACCATATAAATACACTTTCTTTAACACTAGAACGAAATCGAGGGCATTTTATGGCTTTTAAGACCTTTTTACAATTATTTAGTTTCCTTAAATATGCCATACTTCTGTAACAGATTACAGATTCATATCATAAAGTTACGGTAAATGTCAGAGAAATTTCATTAATTTAATATTACAACAAATAATAATAAACAAAGCGGAGAATTTAACGAGATGCAACAATTTCTCGAAACCCGCAAGTTACGTCATCAAGTGTGTACGTCATGACCGGAAATACCCTATGCCATCTGTGTCACTTTCATTGTTAACCAAAGGCTAAGAGCAGGTTTGCTTTCATTTTGTATTATTCTTATAACTTTAAAATTATTACATATATATATTTAAAAACATTAGTTATTTCTCATGCTAGTTACTTTTTGACTGCATTCGAAATCACCTATCTGTTTGACAAAGGGTAGGGTCTCTGCCCAGTCACCCTGATGCTACACCGTTTCTCCAGTGCGTGATTTTGTATTTATCACTGATCTAGCAATTAAAATAAGTAAACATTGAACTACTTAATGTTATGTGCAAAGATTGGAATGAGCTAAAGGAACCGGTAGAAAAACAGGTTAGCTCACTTTGGTAAACAAACGAAAGGCTAGGGGACTCGTTCGGCTGTGACGTTCTGAAGTTTGTAGAGCTACCAGAGGACATTGCTGCATTTGGACTTTCAACTAGATATTTTAGTTCCATACTTTTGTGGAGGGTGGAATTTTTGATAATTTCTGTGGATATGCAGATTGAATCCGCAAAGTCCTTAACAAAACTGCCTATTTAGATAGGATATGAATGCTTAATATCAGTGGCGTAGCTAGGGTGGGGCAAGAGGGACATCTGCCCCGGGCGCAGCATCCAAGAGGCGCCAAATTGATGCTAAAAATTTTAGAATGAAATGTTTCCCATTCTTGTAACACAGAAAAGGGGTGCAAAATCTTTAGTTGTCCCCGGGCGTTAAAAACATTAGCTACGCCTCTGCTTAATATGTGCACACAGATCGTATTTTATTCTCTAGTGTCAAGATGTAGAAACATCTTTTTACTCGACTTCTGATAAGGATCGGGTAGGAGCAGAAGGAGTAGGGTGGAAGGAAGTGTGGGAGGCGGTAAAAAGAGAGTGAGGTCCGCACTAGCGGCGGCGAAAAAGAAACGGGGGGTGGCAAGTCCAGTGTCGTTATAAGTTGTAGCCGCGAGTGTCAAACCGCAGAGTCAGTTTAGCGTGAATGAGTCAATTAAGGTTGTAATTCTTATGTGGGTAGGATGTCACATGGGTAACGATGTTTTTCTCTGCAACGCGGGGAGTGTCTGAGAGTGCTAATAAGGCTATTACTGTGGGTTTGTACTGAATAAAAGAAGTTGACCGCTAATCGTTTAATATACTCTTGAATAAGTTCGATTCGAAGGTCTCTGTGAATATAGATGTTTGGAATATACCAAGGAGCATTGATAATTTCTCGTAGAATTTTATTTTGTAGAATTTGTAATTGTTTAATATTGGTCTTAGCTGCATTGTCCCCAGATCGGCTGCTGCATAAAGGAGGGCTGGGACGAAGTATGGAGCGGTATAAGAAATAATTTGTTTATTTTAGTTATTGTATAAAATTTGCTTTATACTTCTACCAAGAAGAGGTCGCATAGTAGCAGTGGTGATTCTTCAAAATTTTTGTACTACGGACCGGAAGTGGGTTTCTGAAGGTAACGTTTTTGGTCCAGGGTGACTCCAAGGTATTTGGTTTCATTAATCCAGTCTAATTTCTTCGTCAAATATTTCACGGGGTGGAGGGATAATAGTTCATGTTTCCTGTACGGAAAAAATATTGCCTTGGTTTTGGTATCAGTGTTAATTTTAATCCTTCCAAAGGGTGAGCCATTTTTCCAGTTTTATGAGATAGTTTTGTGGAAAGTTGGTTTCTTACGGCGATTGCTGTGCAGGCTTTAGTAAGTGTGGCGGTGTATCATCGGCAAAGAGTGCAAGATGAACAGAAGGGTCCTTTAGGGATGTCTTGCGTATAAATGTTAAAAAAGATACGGCGAAAGTGCCGACTCCCTGGTGGGACCACCAGCTTTGATTACTCTGGTGGTAGAGTAAGCAGTTACCGATTTTTGATTCTGAATGTTCTGTTGCTGAGAAAAGCACAGGCATCTATTGTTAAGCGAATAAAATGATCTGGAAAATTGAGGGTGATTAGTTTGTAAATAAGGCCTCTTGATGCCATACCCTGTCAAAAGCTTTCGCGATATCGAGGAATATAGCACCGGTCGGAAGCTTGCAGTTGTAGCCTTCAGTGATAATGTTGATAATTCTAAGAAGTTGGTGGCAAGTGCTATGATAATTACAAAAACCGAATTGTTTCTTCTGGGAGAAAATTCATGTTAGGTGATGTTTTTTGGATGTGGAAAAGTAGGATTTTCTCAGTAACTTTAGACAGATGGCTAAGTAAACTGATAAGGGCGATAGTTCTGTGGGAAGGTGGGATTTTGTTGCGGTTTAGCAAAAACAATTATTATAGCTTGCTTCCATGAGGCTTAGGAAAATGAGCGTAATTTGATAAGTTGGGTTGTTATGATATCTTAGTTAGGGCAGGTAAGAGCGTTGATCGGAAAGATGCTTCAGTGCTTTGGTCGAGATGCCAGCCATCGTGCCCTGGGGCTTTCTTCGTTTGTAAGGAGCTGATGGTGTTTGGCAACGATTGTTGGGGTTAGTCAGGAAAGTGAAGTTTGTACGGAGCAGGGGTATTAAGGAAGTTATTGACCACCTGGTTGACCCGTTCAATATGGTTATTGTCGTACGGAGTGGGATTAAGAGTGAATGTATCTTCCATATAGTCCGCAAAAGAATTTAGCTTTATCTTCTTCTGTATATGAAGTTCCACTAGGTCCATGTATTAGGTGGAATAGGTTTATAAGGTTTCTTGAATATACGGGAAATGTCAAATAGGGAATTGTCCTCTATAGCTAGGTTATTTAGTAGAAATTTGGTCCAATTTTGGTTGTTTGAAAGTTCTTGATTCTTCTGTTGATTTCTTTTGCATAGAGTTTAGTTCGTGTGTTGAGTTGTAGATCCCTGGTGGTTTGCCATCTTTTACGGATCCAGTTTTTTCTCTTTAATACTATTTCTTATATCGGGCAGGTCAGGGGGAGGAAAGGCTTGTTCACATAAAAAGTATTGGTGGCTTCTCTTAAAGCAGAATGATGCAATTGGCAAATTTTGAGACTTCGTGTTCTAAATCTTCTTTGTTGTTGATGCATGGGTTACCTTGTATGGAGTTATTCAGAATTTCAGAGTATTTGATCCAATTTGTAACTACTATACTTCTGTCAAGTGAGGGGAGGTATTTATTAATGGGGATTTCAAATACAATGTGGTTGTGGTCGGAAAACAGGGCTGAAATTACAGAGATATTGCAACTGTTAGTAATGTTATTTGAGATGAAGTCAATTGTTGTGGCGCTATTGTACCCGTAATGGGTGGGCTCGTCTGGAGCATGAATGTTATAATTATTTGAATGAATGAGTTTAAATATGTCATTTCCTTTTTTGTTAACAGGTCCTCGGTTCCAGCAGGGGTGTTTGGCGTTGAAGTCCCCTCCGACAATGGTAGAAGTATTAGAATTGAGGAGGTGAATCAATTCTTGTACGCTGGGATTATTATTTGATGGGATGTATATATTAGCAATTTTGAATTTTTTATGTTCTATTACAATTTCTATTGTGTTACTTTAGAAAGTGGTGCTGGGATTAGGAATTTGAGAGTGTTTTATGCTCCTTTTAACAAATGTGATGATGCCACCACCTCTTCCTGTCTCACGATCCGTACGGTAGGTGTTATAATTAGCATAAAGTACTTTGAGTGTTGGTTTTAAGGTGAGTCTCTTGTATGAGTATTACGTAAGGTTCAATTTCAATAATGATGTTGGATAATTCATCTTTTTTATGGTAAAGACCGTTTGCGTTCCAAGAGAGGATTTTTATGTTGCACCTATTCTTGAATTTATTAGAATTAAAGATGATTTCGTATTTTTTCAATGATTTCAATTACTGCGATTATTTTATCAATAGGTGATTTCTTGGTTTTAATGTTTTTGAGTCCTTGTATCACTATTGTCCAGATTGTTTTTTTTAGCGAAGAGAAGTCAAAGAGGTCTGACAGGGAGGATTCTGCGGTGCTGGTAGTTTCTTCTGTTGGATTTTCGTTTTGAATGGAGGTTTGAGCGAGATTTTCGTTACTGTTTGATGTCAGCGGAGGAAAGTCTTGTCTTCTGTTAGTCCAGGGATTGATTGTTGGTGGAGGACTGGGTTGGAACTGAACTTGTTTGTTTTAGTCTGGCCGGACAATTTGAGAAGTTGGCTGGGTGAGGACCTTTGCAGTGATAACATATGGCTGGCTGGTCGCGACTATGGGTACATTCTATAGGTTTATGATTGCCTCCGCAACGGACGCAGACCCAGTCTCTGGTGCAGAGCAGGGATCTGTGAAAAAAATCCCTGGCATCTATAGCATTGTGGAGGGCCAGGTTTCTTGCGTAATGATTCTATTGATACGTTCATATAACCTATGCGTTTGATTTTGAATACTTCCTTATTTTCATCTGATTTTGGTATATGTACTAAGAAAAGCGGCATTGGTTTATTTTCTTTTCGGTTTCTTAACCCTTTAACTGCTTAAGACGTGTTTAAACGTTTTCAGAGTTTCTTTAAAAATGTTTTAGATGACTTTACACGAATTTAAAATCGCTCGAAATATGTTTAAGACGTGTATACACGAAGCCCAAATTTTGCGAAAATTGCTTAAGACGTGTTTAGACGATGCGCTCTGGTGTTATTTCCCCTACCTTTCTGCAGGCGGTTGTCAGTTGACACAAAGCGCTTAATGGGGTGTGAAGTCTCTTTGAAAAGAGCACTTTACGAAAGAGTCCTGAGAGTGAAGTATCATTGTCAGACAGCAGGTATGTATTATCTGTGTGGCGACTAAAAGTTTGCGAATGAAGATAAATCGTTTTACAACTGTTTGCCCCTTTGGTACTTTATACAAATGAAAGTCAAACAGGATCAGACGTTGTTATAGTACATTGCCGAATTTTAGTAGAAACAGGAAAAAATAAGAATTGTAACGGAAGACGCCCTTTTTAATAAATCATATATTATAGAATCAAATATTTTATTTTGTGTAATGAAAAATTGATTACAATTTCTGATTCGTCAGGAA